GGGGGGGGGGTGTGGAGGAGTTGGCAGCTGAAACGCCCTGTCCCAGCCCTCACGCTTCGGGGCTTCAGCCTTCCCTCTCCCAGCTGAGGTGCAGCCGTGATGTAAAAGAGACCCTTCAAAAGAGCCTGTAGGGCTGCCGGCCTCCTCCCTTTGGTTTTTGGTTTTTGGGAAAAAGTCTCTAGGCTAAGACATAAGAAAAGTAAGAAGTGTCGTGTTTGGGTATCCTTGGAATCTGACCAGGATTTACCCTAAAGAATGATTCTTATAAAAACTTAGTAAGAATGGTAACTGTGTGTAATATTTTTATGATAGTGGAGGAAACTGCAGAAATATTCATATTAGTGCAATCAAAATTTTAATTCCAATTGATGCGAGTCTATTTTTGTGCCTGAAAAGAATGCTTGATTCTTTATTTTGTTGCTTATGTATACAGCTATGAGATACAGCACGATGTAACTAAATGTTGCCTGATTGCTCAAGGGAAAAAAGTTTCTGTATTGGATACAACTTACTCTATAAAATTTTATGGATGTCGACTGATAAAAAGGTGGCACTAAATGTTTAGAGAATGCCTGCCTGAAGAAATAATTTAGAAGCAGTGAATGGTGTTAAATAGTATTGACAGTGTGCTACTGTGCTATGCTGGTCAGTTTCTTAAAAGAAAAGAAAAAAAGATTTTGCTGTTCTGGGTTTTTAATTTATCTGTGGAATTTCACTTCCCGCTGGGCCACAGGTCTGTTATGTAGCTGAACAGTGATGCGAGCTGAAAACCGATGGGATATAATGCAACCTGTTGTGCTCTGTTCCCTGCTTACTGTTTTAATATTAACTATATATATTCTTTCTTGTTGTGGTAGGACCAAAACAACATCTGAGCTTAAGGCCTATTTGGAATGTATTTTTACTTTGTCTGTGTGAGTTAAACACAAAAGGGGTCCTAATTATTCTTAATGCGTGTTTGAAGTTCTCAATAGCACAGATTACGAGAATAAAGTCAACTAAGTCAGCAGTAGTTCTTGTTCCTGGTCGTTTACTGAAATGTTCACATGACCTACCCGGTTCAGGACTAAGTATTGCACTTACTAGATAGAAATCTCTCTTTTAGCCTCAAGTTAGTAGCTCTGTGCAGGCTAGTTAGTAGAGAGTTCAAAGTGTGTTGTTTTGGATCCTTGAAATACTCGGAGTCGTTATTTTTGAAACTGTTGCATAATCATGTTTCTTGTAAGGTGTTAAAATGACACAGATTTTCGACGATTCTCTTATCTAGGGCTTAACTTTTAATGAACATTTTTGTGAGGGCGGTGGCTGTTGCCAGCTAGCTCCCCGGGATGAAAACGAAAGTACCTTTTTTGCAGGTTAATTAATTGTTTGCACTGAGGCTTCTGCTGATCCTCCTATTTCCTGTTAAGTCAACCCTCTAAGTCATGAAGACACATTGTCTAAAGAAAGTTTCTAGGGTAAAACTCTCACAGACATAAATAAACAGTTTGTGGTTCTGTGTCCTGTTAGGTACATGATCTAGTTGATAGTAAGAGTGTTCTTACTAATGCCAAAATTTGTTAATTGACAACATCTAAATGTTTATAATTCTGAGCATTATGCAGAAACAAGTTTGGATAGGACGATCATTCCTACTACCTATGTAGTTCCCCCAGCATAGAGTACTATTTTAGTGAAACTGCAGCATGTTCTTTTCCTGTGTAAGTTGTGAGGAAGAGAGAGAGTATCCACATGTGTCTTGTTTGTCTCTTTCATCAGCTTTTGTCAATATCTTGTTTGTTATTTCTACTGTTTTGGAGCCATCAGTGTTCTCGACAGAAATGCTGCAGTCAGGAGGGGTTGGGACAGGGAAGCTTTTGTCTTGAAGTGTAAGGTGTAGGATGTGATTTGATTTTTATAGTGCCGTGTCTGCTAACTTTACATGTGACTTTGTTAACTTCATTAACTCAGAGTGTGTTACACACAAACGCGTATATCTGAATAAATTTGATTTGTATGCCACCAGAAGTTTTCTTCTTCTGGGAAAATTGAGTAGTAACAAAAATGGTGTTAGAGCCATCTGCCTTGTAGCTTAGGAGGATAATACTAAATCACGTTTTACTAGGAAAATGCAGTTAAAAGGGATTCACATAGTTATTGAGTTGTTCTGCTCTGTTCAGAAGAAACATCATACTTACCTGAGGTAGACAGACAACTTTTTTCTTTTTTTTTTTTTTTTCAGTAGCACATGTGGAATTTATTTCTAGGGGAAGTAAGGGAGACATCTGAAATGCTCTACTGTCAATTTTGTTTTCCTCTAAGGAGGAGTGTTTTGTCACTTTAATAACTTCTGGGCCTAATGCTAGCACTGTCAGTCTTTCTCACTGAAGTGTATATTATACAGTAATACAATGGAGTTGTGAACTTACACACATGAATGACCTGCTTTTTGGCAGCTGGTTTAACAGTCCTCTCCTAAGGTGTCTTTCTGAGATAAGCTGATCACCTTTATGATTGAAGAAGCTGTAAGTGAATAGAACCTTTCTAATGATTGGCTGAGAATTATGCCTTTGGACCAAAACTCAAAAAGGTGATCTCTGACTTCAGAAAATATTCCTCCCATTTGTGTGATTGTGTTTAAAGTTGAAGAGTAAATTGGTGCACATTTATCAGTAGCAGTTCTGAAATATAAAACAAAGTTTCTTGACAGACTTTTGCATGTTTAGTTTCATTTTGGTTTGGTTTTGCTATTGGACCCTGAATAGTTTAGGTTACTATTTCACTTTAATGTGTTTGTAGTAGACTGTTACTTCAAGAGCTTGGCAGATAAAGGCTCTGCACATTTTATGCAGACATGTACTTTGGCAGTTCCTTTCAGTTTATTCAGTGTTTTTCAAAAACATTTTTGTAATTTAATGCATCTCAAAAATATTATTATTATTATTTTTTTTATTATTTGCAGAAGGTATTTAAGAAGGCATACTTTAAAGACTGAGCTAGGGAAAAAAATCACAAAAAATTTCTCCCATTCTCTTTTTTAAAAAAAGATATTTTGCCAATATCACGGGTTGTGCCAGCATGGGGTGTTATTACTTGCTTGTTTTCAATAGAGTAGTGTATAAAAGTTGGGAGAAGCCTGTTTTGAGCTTTCCAATTGAAGACAAAGGAATCTCATAAGTTACAGAAGTCAGACATTTTTGTATAGTTTCTTAAGTTCCTTTCATTTATAGTAAATAAGGCAGTTCTTTTTTGACTAAGCTTATTTTGCCCTAGTTGCTTATCTTGTAATCTGTAGGTTTGCTCAGTTTGATGTCTTTTTGCTTTAGTAAATAAATAAGCTGGTATTTATTAAATGTTGAAAATTTCAATTCCAGAAAAATGATCCCCCTTTCCAACTTAAACTTCCTCCAAAGGCAGCTAGACCTGAAAAAGAAGTTGACCCGGAATATGAAGAGAAGATGGTAAGTGTTTTTACAACAAAACATGCTGTAGCTTTTTTTTGTTGTTGTTTGCCTGAACTAGGTCAATACAGAAGGAGTAATTGCAGACTATGTCAAAAAAAGAAAAACAAGAATCTTAAATGTGTAGTCCAGTGTGATGTTTCTTACAGTGTCTAACAATAGGTCTTTAGTGGAGAGTACAATAGAGGAAGAAGATAATGATAGTTCTGTTTGATACTGTCCCACTTCTCCAAGTATTTTGAACTGCACAGTTTCTGCAGTTGGAGGCAGTGGTTTTTATGCTCAGTAGTTGCCAGTGAATTTTTGAGTTTGTTTGTTTGTTTGTTTTTCTCCCTTGTATCCTTGTGTGTGTTTTTTCCCCTCATGTATGTTTAGTTATTCACACCCTCCTGTATTAAGTAGTTTCTATTCAATTGCCTTTTGTATTTAGAATTGTCCTCTTTTGGTTTTGGATCTGTCTCTGCTAGTTTTATTTTATGACCCCTTAAGTCATATCAGAGGCATCTTTAAACTACTTCTTAAAGTTTAAATGTTAAATGGGTGCTTAACTAACTACAATAGCGTCTGAAAGGACTGGATATTATAGGAGCCAGGAAAGAGTAACACTGTTAGACACAGAAAAATTGATACCTACTTGTAGGAATACTTAATTTTTAGCCAATGACACATAAGTACATCAGATAATTGAGAATGTGTTGAGTAAATAACTAAATTTGCTTGCACAGTAATACATGATGATATACATCTTTCCTAAATTAGAATGTTAGTTCAGTTTTTCTGAGTGGCTTTTTTTTTCTTTTTTTGAGACCTTTGTAAAGATGTTTATTTGCTGGGAAGTGATGCACTATTAAAAGATATACATTGCCCTCCTGTGGCAAGATAATGCATTGCATGTCGGGTTAATCTTTATTGCTCTTTTTTGCTTTGTTATATTGCTGTTGGAGCACTTTTACTTGCATTTAAATTACTTGGAGAAAAGCTTTCTGCTTTTTCAATATTTCGTGGAAAGGGTTTGGTACAGGGCTACAATTAAACGTTTGTAGTTGATATCAATATACATACATGAGATCACATGAAAACTGCTTTAAGTGGCATGATCTTACATGATGCTTAGAAGTGGCATAGAGGAACCGATAACAACTGCATTCTGTCAGCATTTGCATTTTATAATACTATACTTAAAAATTATGTAATGTCTTTTAAGTATAGAGAAGGACATCAGTTTTGCTGTGTTTCTATAGTGAAGTGCATATGCCTCATTGATGTGCCAAAACTGAGATGATTTAAGTATTGAAAACAGTATTAAGCTGGTGCTACTTTAGTCATACTTCTAAAAGTAGAGCTACAACATTGTTGCCTTTGATCAAATCAAACTTGAGCAACAATAGAATTTCATCCCTTATTGTATGTCAGAACTTTTTTTGTAGACAATCCTTTAAAGCATCCCTTCACAGTTGCTGCTGTGCCATGCAGACTTACAAATACACTGTTTTTGGGAATGTTATACTAATTATTGAGCTTTGAATAGGAATGAGTTGCGGGGATGAGGCTATCAAGTCTTACCATGTCTTCCAGGTTGCTGTGGTATTCATGGTCACTTGAACCTGCCACACATTGCAACAGGGAGTGTTCTAAAGCAATTTATGCTTAGCTGTGAGCTGAAGGAGCTCAAGAGCTGTTTAATGATGCTTGTAGCCTTCTGAGCTGGCTGCCAGTAGGCAGACGGTCTTGTCAGTCTTTCGTTGTATAATGTGTTCTCACAAGTGTCTGAATTCTGTTTATTAAAAAAAGAAAAACAAAAAAACTTTTCTTTATATAAAATGTATTTTATTAATTCTCTCCCCACTTTTGAAACTAGAAAACTGATCGAGCAAAAAGGTTTGAATTCCTCCTGAAGCAGACAGAACTTTTTGCACATTTTATTCAGCCTGCAGCACAAAAATCACCAACATCTCCATTGAAAGTCAAGCTGGGACGACCAAGGATGAAGAAAGATGAAAAACAGTGTTTGATTTCAGCTGGGGAGTATGTTTCATTTTTATTTCTGACTTTTCACACTTTCAAACAAATTATGCATTTTGACATACATGTTTAGTAGCACAGAGATAGTTCTTTAAGTAAGTCCAGAACTTTTCCTCTTAATGGTTTTTCTTAATTTCCTTGAAAGCTGATTGCTGTATGCATACTGATCCATCAACGTTATTGAGACCTTGGTCAGGAACACACTTTTAAAGTAAATTCCCTAATTATGGCCATGTAGCATGCTTTATTCCATATTGTGGAGTAATTTTGAAGCACATTAATTTCTTTTGCATGATACTGAATGAGACTATGCACTCCAGAAATGCACCTAAAGTGTTCTAGCTGGTAGTGGACATGTCCACCAGAGTGAAGTGAGACCAAGTTAACAGAAGACCATATGCATGCAGCGTGGATGTTGGATCCCCAGCACCAGTTGTCTCACTGTACTAGTTTGTCTATATTAGTAATGCAGGCATAGCCTGCATGTAGTGTTTCTGAGGGGCTTGCTATTGCAAGACAACTACTTTTTGGAACGTTTGCAAAATGGCGTTTTCTATTTTATAGATTTCAAGGGGTTTTTTAATTGAATATGTGATCCTTCTGAATAGTATAGTTATCTAATAATTGATTCTAAGGCCACCACTGATGTGTCCTGTATTGCTGTGTTGCTCATTAAAAAGTACCCTAGAGAACTCATTATACTTCTTGTCAGAGTATAGTTATGGCTCTGAAGGAGAAGGTTTCATATCAGTCTTTCTAATTAAAGCTAGAAAGAGCCATAAGGAATAACTTATTAACAAGATATTATATTGGTCAGGGTACAAGAACACACACGTTGTAGATCAGTGATTATTACAGTTTTTCACTCCATTTTATGATTAGTGTTTTGAAATTACTTTGTATAATCATGAAACCTGGGTTCTTCAGTTACCGTCACAGGCGCACTGAACAAGAAGAAGACGAGGAGCTGTTGTCAGAGAGTCGAAAGACATCTAATGTGTGTATTCGATTTGAGGAGTCTCCTTCATGTAAGTATTGTGTTGAGTTTTCTGATTGCTTTGCAAGTAATCTAAGCAGATCACAATTAAAATTTTCTACTTAGTATTTTTCTACTTAGAGGAATCTTACATTTACAGATGTGAAAGGAGGAACACTAAGAGATTATCAGGTTAGAGGTTTGAACTGGATGATCTCATTATATGAAAATGGTGTTAATGGCATTCTGGCAGATGAAATGGTAAGCATTCATCTTTTGGAATTTTTGTGGTAATTATTAAGCAAAATTCAACATTAAAGTGCCTATAGTATTTAATGCATATGCAGTAGTATGCATCATTCTACAACAGTTAGATTTTCCACAACTGGAATTGTAAGGCAGTGAAAGGAATTGTATTGCAAACACTGGCTGTGTAGTTTGCTTTGAACAACTTAAGTGGCAGAATAATACAGTAGGAAAATTGTTTGAAACTTTCTATGTGGTATTTCGTTTCAGCAGGTTTCTTTTCCCTCCCTTTTTGTCAATGCAGGGTCTTGGTAAGACTCTGCAAACTATAGCATTATTAGGCTATCTGAAGCATTACCGAAACATTCCTGGGCCACACATGGTCCTGGTTCCAAAATCAACTTTGCACAATTGGATGAATGAATTCAAACGTTGGGTTCCATCGCTACGTGCTGTTTGCCTTATTGGAGATAAAGATGCCAGAGTAAGTGTTCTGTGTTTCAAAGATGTGCACAGTATTTGTCAAAAGCTAACATTTGTGTATGTGGAATTCTCCCTAGTTCCTTAATTACAGTATTTTTTAGTACTCTTTAGCTATGTTAATATTGAACACTGTCACAGTGTTTATTAATTTTCCTTTATTGCTTCACTTTGAGTAGGGGAGAAAATTTGTGTTTTGCATAATCCCAGCTGTTGATCTGTCTGCCTGAAGTACAAAGGATTGAAGGCTTTTATCACAGTAACTTTCAGTTACTGAGAAGATGTTTCAGTGTCTTTCTTTGCTAGCTTAGTGCATCAGTAATGTTGGCAGAGAGAAGTTTCACTGAATTCCATATGAATTGTTCATTGATAAATAGTCATTAACTCAATTGTTCTGCTTTAGGCTGCTTTTATTCGGGATGTTATGATGCCTGGTGAATGGGATGTTTGTGTTACATCATATGAAATGGTAATTAAAGAGAAATCTGTCTTCAAGAAATTTAACTGGAGGTATCTGGTAATTGATGAAGCCCACAGAATAAAGAATGAGAAGTCTAAGGTAAACTAAAAATTATTTGATACTTTGACACAAGATTCCATCTGATTTTAGCAGACTAAGTGTTAGGTGTGGTGCTTTTAAAATAGAAGCCATAAGCTATTGAGTGATAAATATGAGTTTCATAGATAGTGCACTGTTGACATTGTTTCAGGTTTCAGAAACTGATAAACATTCATTATTCTTAAATGTACGTGATGATGATGATGATTTGTTGTGTTTCTAGCTGTCAGAGATTGTACGTGAATTCAAGACAACAAATCGATTGCTGCTCACAGGAACTCCTTTACAGAATAACCTGCACGAGCTGTGGGCATTACTCAATTTTCTTTTACCTGATGTCTTCAATTCTGCAGATGTAAGTTGAGGTTTGGAAGTACAGTCCTGTTCTTAGTTTGATTCCCAGGTTGCCAACTGTGCAATAGAATGACCAGCCTAGTAAAAGACACATGTGGAAGACCTGGATTTGGTAGAAGCATTGTGCCTTACTTAACTGTAGACTACTTTTTTTGCTTCACCTGGTTAAAACAATGCATTCTGTTAGTGCACATAAGGGCTCAGGCCAGTAATAGTAAATGTGATACTTGAAGTAGTTCGAGAATTACTCAAATTATTGCATTTGGGAAAACAATGCAGAATCAAGAATATGAAGCATCCAAATATGCATAAGCCTTTTTTCCATTTAGAATTTGAGTAGTCTTTCTCTTCTTTTACTGTTAATGTTTCCTTGTACTTGTATTGCTTACTTCTGTTGTTTTTGCTTGGTTGTCCATCTCATTTACATTTTCGCTTTTTACTTTCTTGCCCCAACATTACACAGGCACTAAGGGAGAACTTGGAAACTGCAGTGATAAGCATAAATAACCATTGTAAACTAAGCAGAGTAATAGTATTTTGTCTGTGATTGGGTGACTTGAATGTTACAATGTGCTGAGGAGCTGGCAGGGATCTGCAGCCCGATTTCTGTTTCACTTGAAGTAATTTGTCTCAAGATTTATGTCACTCTCAGAGTGAGAGTCAATATGTCTTCTAAAACTACAGATGATAAACTGTTCATACCAATTGTGTTGTTTCTCACCACAGGATTTTGACTCATGGTTCGACACTAAAAATTGTCTTGGTGATCAGAAACTTGTAGAAAGACTTCATGCTGTAAGTAATGAAAGCTGTACTCACATGTCATCATTAGCATACACAGTGTAAAAAGGAAAAGAGTTTTTCCCCCTTCCTCTTGAATCTCAAGAAGGTATTTAGTTGCAGAAATGCCCAGCAGAATTTTCATTAATTAACTATTGGAACTTGCTATTATAGATACTGCTTTTTGTAAGATTACTGTTTGAAGCAGACAAAATGTGTACATAAAATGTGAAAATGAAGAATTTGGAGATCTTTTTGAAACCGTTTATTATTGTGAATAGCCTACTGATCCACATGTCATGCTAGTCTGAATAAAAGCATGCTTTTATCTTTGTTTTACTATGCATGAGAAGACATGTTTCATCATACAGTAACAAAACAAATGGGAAAGAAATACAACATACGTTGCTTATCTTTGAAGTGTTGGTATATTTGTATATGCTGCTAGTGAAAACGAAACAGAGCTGTTAAAAGGTAATAGATTTTATAAGCCTATGGGTTTCTCCCTTGCTTAGGATAGTTGGGATGAGTATGGCAGTCTTTATGTGGTGTTACATATTTATGTGTGAGCTTTGCCTGTTAGTGGACAGTTTCATTTTGCTGACTTGGACAGAATTTTTCTGAAGGAGTCATCATGACAGCGATAGGTATTGATTAGTTCTGAATAAATATCAGATAATTGAATCTGTTCATTTCATATATGAGGTAATCAATTTTATAAATTTGCTGTGGAAAAAATTCTTAATTTCTGTAGGTTCTGAAGCCATTTTTATTACGCCGCATAAAAGCTGAAGTGGAAAAGAGTTTGCCTCCAAAGAAGGAAGTAAAAATATATCTCGGGCTCAGCAAAATGCAGAGGGAATGGTGAGTTATTTACATCAAAGTAAGATTCTTCTTTGATAAAGAACACTTCAGCTCTTCATGCTGATTTTTTTTTCCTTGTAGTTACATGTTAAAACAGTTGGATGGACTGGCCTATTTGTAACTGTCTTTGGGACTTAAAAAGAGCTCAGGAGGGGTAATGAAAAGGGTTGGGAGAAGGGAAGTAGAAACATCTTTTCCTTCCTTAGTTTTCCTTCCTTATTTGAAAGAGCATAAGCCTCCCAAGTTTTCTTCTTTGATCCAGTTATGTATGCACCAGTACAAGTTTTGAGCTGAAATGAACATAAAACTTTGAGAAGCCACATAGCCAGAAGAGGTCTGAGAAAAAGAAGCAGGTCAGTGTAGCAGCTTCAGCCAAATAAGTGATATCTTTACTTGACTTTGCAGTCCTAAAGTGCAAGTGTAAATTACAGATCATTGTCACTCACAAATTGCCGTTCATGTCTACGTATGGATTTATAAATCGTTATTATCCATCAGATATTTTTGCCAAGTTTGTTAATCATATAGCTCCATCCTCACACAAAGCAGACTCCCACATTCAGTAATAAATAACTGGCATACTGCAAGGTTTCATTCATGTTGTAGATACCAAATAAAAACTGCAAGTTGTTTGAAGTTGTCTGTAAATCTTTAGGTACACAAGGATCCTGATGAAAGATATTGATATCCTGAATTCAGCTGGGAAAATGGATAAGATGCGTCTGCTGAATATTCTGATGCAGCTGCGGAAGTGCTGTAACCATCCGTACCTCTTTGATGGTGCTGAGCCAGGCCCTCCTTACACCACTGACACACATCTCATCACTAACAGTGGTAAAATGTTAGTTCTGGATAAACTGCTGGCAAAGCTCAGAGAGCAAGGTGAGTACAGTTTATGAACAGTATGATCTGAACATATGTTCTAAGTAAAGCTACCTTTCAAAAATGGCATTCTTGTCTTTCCTCCAGTGAGTGTATTCATTATTTTCAGTGAGGTTTTTGTTGAAACTAGTTTTTCTGTAGATCTTAACACATGGAGGGAAGGAGGTTGTATAGGAATGAGGAAGACTAGTAATATGGAGAAGAGCTTCTCTTTTGCTGTCTTCAAGAAAATTTCTGATGAGAGGTTTAGTTTATGCAAATAAGTAATCAGCTAATTGTCATACCATGGGTTTGAGTGTTCTGTTTCTTCAGCTATGTATTTCTTATGTATAAATTATTAAATAACCTGTTTGGAGGAGAAGTTAATCAATACCGAAAAATAACAAGAAGAAAGATTGAAGTTGGGCATAATAAAGAATAGTTCACATGAGTTCTTACTCGTGCTTTATAGTAGACTCTGTGGTAAGATTAATGTGAGAACATAAAACCAACAACAAAACCTTTTCTGTCAGGTTCCAGAGTTCTGCTTTTCAGTCAGATGACTCGCTTACTGGATATTTTGGAAGACTATTGCATGTGGCGTGGGTACGAGTACTGCCGACTTGATGGGCAGACACCACATGAAGAAAGAGAGGTGAGAAAGTTGTATATAAACAAGGAATGTCTTTGTTTTACATACTAGATTATTACGATGTTATTTACTACTTATATATGCACATAGCCACAAAGTACAGTACAAAGCACAGTGAAGTACACTTCATTCGTTCCTCAACTAAATGAGAAATGTAATATTTAGTGGACTCAGAATTTTTCCACCTGTGCAAACCTACAGTGTATTAAAAAATTTGGTACAAAAATTCTGTAAATTTCAATTAAATGTTATTGAAAGCTACGAACATATTGGAAGCTTATTTGAAAACTGATACTTAAATGGCACTTCTTTTTCCTTTAGGAAGCAATAGACACATTTAATGCTCCCAATAGCAGTAAATTCATTTTCATGCTGAGTACCAGAGCTGGAGGTCTTGGAATTAATTTGGCAACTGCTGATGTGGTTATTCTCTTTGATTCAGATTGGAACCCTCAAGTAGATCTGCAAGCCATGGTGAGTTAACTCTCTAATATGCATTTGTTTAAGTTGTCATTGTACTATTTTATATAATTCTTTCCAGAACTTCCATGTCTGATGATTTTCTTTACTTTTTGTATTTAATACCAAGACACTAAGGCATTGGACTAAAAGGGCAAGAACAGAATTGTGTAAAAAAAACAACCCCTTGTAGATTACATTGTAAATATTTATCTTAATTATTCGTAACTTAATAAGATTACTTCTGTCAAAATACTATATCAGTATTGCTTATCCGTAGAATTATTCCCTATTCTGTCTTTCTAGAAGAAAACAGTAAACTAGTAACAGAGGGCTGTTAGCAAAATAATAGCAAAGAACTAAAAGCCTGCAGCTTGATATTCCTCCCTTTTGGGCAGCTTATGCTTTTGCACCTCACCTTGTTTCTGTGTAAGTGTAAGGTCATTCAGTTGGGATGCCAGGAAAACACATGCTTAGTTTTGCATTAAACATACTAAAACCTGAT